ATGTGACCAAGCAGTGTCTTAAATAATGCATTATGCAAATCTGTATTCACGGTTATTTTTTGGTACGTACCATTAAATCTAGGTGATATACATTGCATAAATTAGTAATAAATGAATACTATTTTGTACGTAATCACAACCATTTTGTTTTACCATGAATTGACAAAACATAATTCATTATAAATATCAGTGTTTCCTGGAATACATTGAATTTCACTTAAGCATGAATGTTTTTTTTACAAAACATGTATAAACCTTTTATAAATTTCAAATGATAGTTGAAAATATCTTAACCAATCGCAATGCCTACTGCATAAATCATTCATGATTGAGGCTGGGAATTATGGGTAATGGACTCAAGTTTAGCAAAGATACCGGTAACTGTTGATTTGAATAACCGCAAGAGTTTTCCAGAAATATTGTTTTTCATAATTTTTGACATAATCATTTCATGCTTGAAACACTACAGTCTTTGCACCATGTCATGTTTGATGTGAATTGTTAGTTACTATGAATACAAAGAAGTGGTGCATGACGAGTGTAGCGCTTGACGTGAAATTCAGTGTGATATTTCTCAGATTATTAATATTTAATAATGTATGTGTTATTGTTTTGAGAATGTCATGGTGATTACATCAACAGATAGTTTTACATATGACACGCCAAGAATGGATTCATCCCCTGAAATCATAAATATGCACATCAACTTGTCTCTGGGCTAATTGTCCCAAAATAAACATTTCAGCGTGTTCTTAACCATTTTTTTCAAATTTATTCCAATTTAAAATTTACAGGTATCGCATATAATTTGTCATTGTTACACAGTTTGCTTTGAAATTTGATTCACAATGACCAAATTTGGGGGGGTGTTATTTTTATGTATTTTTGAATTCCAATCATATTCACTTGTAACTAACCGTTACCGATTTATTAAAAAATAAAATCACATAATTTAAATGTATAATATCACCAGATTCTCTGGTATGCCTGGGTTTAATTTATTCAAACTTATAATTTACAGGTATCACATATGATTTACTGATGTACAATAGTTTGCTTTGCAGTATGATTCACAATTTCCAACCTGGGAGGGGGGGGCATGTTGTTTTCATTTCTATGTGTCTCTTCACCATTTTTGGATGTACATAACTAATTTTGTTCAAAGTTAGTACAAAAACAAAACATAATGTTTACAAAATTCACTTCAGTTTTTTTTAATGACCTTTGACCAACTGGTGGCTATTTTTATCCCAAAAGAAAAAATTCTAACATGTCATCAACAGTTTCTCCAGCATAGTGGAGATTTTATTGGTTTTATTGATATGAACATCACACATGATGGTTACTAACACATCTGTTTTGTCATTTGATTGAAAATAACAGAATGACAGCCATATTGGTTTTATTTTTATGAACCATTTATCGATTATGCAGTGAGGGCATTGGTTAAAGTTGTCTTTTCTTGATGTGATTACATAATTTGATTCAAAATTGTGAAATTTTGTGTTTTTTCATGTAATTTACCGATTCTCGGATACACTTTCACTGATTTTTTCAAAATAATTTCATCATTTTGAAGCACTTTTAGATGTTTAACTGTAAAATGTTTACATGTAGATTTGAATTAAAAGATGTGATTTGCTAATGTGAAACTCTATTGTAACATTCTCTCTGTGCAAATTATTGATTGGATGACGCTAAGGTCATTTCAAAATAAAGATCATTTTCATTCGCATGATGTTAAGATCAGTTACTGTGATTGGTTAAGGGCTTTTCAACTGTCTTTTTTGGTTTCTAAAGTTATTTAAATACATAAATCATAAAGCACATTCATGGGCATTCCGAAATGGATAACAAACCACGAAAGTAGTTGTTATATGCACAATATTAATATTTTATCTTTATAAATGTGGGTTTTCTTAGTGTATGCATCTTCACTTCACTACTATACCTTGTAAGATTTCCCACTATAAACCTATATTCATTGTCAACGTAATCAAACACAATGCTCGTGGCTCTGGTGCGTTTCCATGGTAAATGGGACAGAATGAGAAATAGAACACCAAATCACATGTTCATGTCAGTTAAGCTGTAACTGAATAAAAGTCAGAAAAATCTTAAATTTGAAATAGATTTGAGCCATTATAGAAACACCGATTTATGGTTCAGCTCGGTACCCCAACTAAATCATTCAATTTAACTTGCATATCAGCCGTATGAAATGCCATGTCTGAAATAACCAAATTTATATGCGTGTTGCACATGTGGGGGTAATCGTGTATACATTGTATACTGTTCAGGGTAGTCTCAATAATTATCCCAAAGTACAGTTTTCTAAGAGTTTTCGACGTTTGTTTTCACCGTGATGGTTACCAAGCGATGAAAATGCCTGGATATCCGCCCAAGAATAACTGTTGAACTACCCAAGTAGTTTTTTTCATGTGCCAGATTTTGTACCTTATTGTGTCATTTTTAATATCATTTCAGGTACATCATTATAACAGCCTCTGACAAGCCAGCCATAAACTCAGTCACCACTCAATAGATCACTTATAAACTCTGTATATATTGTGTTTAGAACATCGTGGTACAGTTCAATGTTAAGTCAAAGTAACAGACATGAGAAATGTATGTAACACACACGAGTCTCAATGAAAGTATTTTAACCCTGTTACGAACTTCGTATTTATAAGGTCACACCAGGAATACAATAGTTAGCACTTTGCGTATTCATACAGAGTAAGAATGTTTTCTGATGATCAGTTGCTTCAGTTTTGTCAAATAATCACAACTATGAGAATTTTACTTTTTTTACTTCATGATGACAGCTGGTCACTTGAGATTCAGCAAGAGGCGTTAACAGCTGCTACAGGCCGAATCACAGCGCAAGATGCCCTGTCACAATGACCGTAACGGCTAACATTTATCGGTTTCACCGAATTTCTGACTCTTCGTATTACTAAGTAATGGAATTCACATGATGCAAGACATATATTGAAAACGGTGTTGAACAACGCGGTATCATATAGGGTGTATTTTCTAATAAAAATAAACAGCGGTGAAAAAACTATATTTTTGTCTTATATGTATTCAAGTTGTTCGAAGAGCAGCTATAATTCCCAATGAAGACGTTGATTTTTTAAGCTCATCATGTAATATTTGCGCTGATTGGAAGCATATATACGAGGTGGAATATAATACGTTGACAAAACCTGTCAACGAACAAGCTGCTCTCTGATTGGTCTGAATGTCAGGGTTTGATAGCCAATCAAACACACTCTTCGCCTTCGTTCTGTGCCACTTCAAGTTACATGCTTTCAAAAAAATATCGTTGGGGGCAGTATACACAACCTAAAATATGGCAACTGGGTACCAGCGGCCGGGGTATGGGATGAGTAAAGGTGAAATTACATGATCGGCTGTAGCCGGCCGGCAGTTTTAAAAATCGGCTGACTGAACGCAAAAAAAAAAAAAAAAAAAAAAAAACGTGTTTTTTTTTCCCCCATCTTCAATAGTCGGACGACTTGCATCTACACGACCGATTATACTAGTTGGTGTAATGATATGGCCATATGCTATTATGCCATAGGACAGAGGCTTCGTGATTTTATGCAATAGACCGTTTAACATTGTCATGCGATTTATGACCAATTTTATGAAAAATTATGAGGATTGTGAACTATAGACTACCAAATTCTTTATATTGATATAATGTAGATTGGAAAATACAATTACTGAAGATCACATCAATACTTTCTGCAAGCCAAATTAGACACAAACTATTCATTAACTGTTTGAAATGCAGTACATGGCGTAAAGTTGCAATTCTTCGTATTATATGCAAATCACCTCCTTCTGATTGTGACCACCATGCAACAAATGTAAAATCTGATGGCAAGTCATGAAATTCCAACATAATTTTCATCGTTGTATGAGATTTATTTGCAGTGGTCAATTTTTTTTTTTTTTTTTTTTTAAACAAGGGGTGGGTCACTATTTTTTTTTACAACGGTGAAA